GGAGTAGCAACAAAAAAACTGATTTTGAGGAAAAACCTCTTAAAATTTTGAGATGTTCCCTGTGAGTTATCAATGTTTTGTTTCTTTTTAGCTGGGAAATCTGAATATTAAAATATAATTTGAGGTTTCCTCTTTATAAGAACATCAAAAAATCCTCATTAAAATGACATAAAATTAGGATTCAGACCAAATATTTATGTATTATTGTAACCAACAAGACAAATTAAGCATATATATGGATTTAATTATGATAACAGGATGATCCAGGTGTCAAAATGTAGCTTTTAAAGCCAAGAATCTGAAGGTCATTTTGACCAAATTTGACTTAATCCTCATTTCGAGATGATGGGTCACATATCATCTGTTGRTTTGTGTGCTGAAAATGTATTTATTTTCAGGGACAGGAACGTTCCTAAAAGAACGCAGTTTGGAGGCAATATACAGAAAATCAAACCGTATGTATTTAATTTAATTAAACAGTTTCTGTACAGAGAAGGAAAACTAACTGATAAAGAATTAAAGCCCTGAATAACAACTACACAGCAAATAATGTTAACCTGTCGTACTTTTGATTTTACAAACAAGTAAACTTGTAAAAATACTTGTAAAACAGGAACTGAAACTTGTGAACTTTCTTGGCCAGCCATTTTTAAAAATATATAAACAGTTCATACGATTTATAGTCTACTTGTTTTTTTAACCACGTCTAAATAAAATACTATGGCTCTACATGCAATTATTTACACAAATGAATTACAACTTTGATTTTTTTTAAAACAGTTGAGAAAAAAGTAATATCATTCAAATTTTTTTTTTTTGCATATTTGGCTCTGCAAATTCCAAAACACAAAACTGTGAAAGTTATTTAATAAAAATGTGTACTGTGATCAAAATAAGCAGGTAATTCTTGTTAAATATTTATTTGTTAATATTTGCAAGTCCGTAAGTTCACTTAGCAAAAAGCAGTATACTTGAAATTAATTTTAATACATATACTTGAGTATATTTTAAGTATATCAAGTATACTAGGCACCATGTACTTGTAGTGTACTAGATCGTATACTGGTTTAATACTTGTTCGTTCTAAATTGGGACTTCATTTTTTTTTTTGTTTATAAAAAGTATACTTTAAGTATAGCTACTTGTTTAATGCCTTTAAACTCACCAAAAAGAAGTATACTTTAGGTACACGTCATTAAGTATACTAAAGTACATAAAAGTGTATTTCCCTAAGTGTACCTTTATTTACCATGTACACTGATATAAGTATACCATCAGTTTCCTAACAAGTATACTTCTAGGACTGAATTGGCCCACAATGAGTTTATATACTGAAAATAATCTTCTAAGTATACTTTTAGTTTAATCTTGAAATATACTACAGATAAACCAGTCTGTGTGAAAATGTACTTTCAAGTTTATCTTGGCCAAAGGTTTAAACAGTAATATGTAGTGTACTTAAACTTTTAGTATACTTTTAGTACAATCCAAGAATAGTGTAAGAAACTTGGTTAAGTATAAATCAGATAAGTATGTAAAAAGTAAACTGGAAGTATACATTTTTTGTTTGTTTTGGTTTAAAATTAGTATACTTAAAGAATAATTGCATATGCTACTTTTTGCTAAGGGTTGTTGGAATAAATAATTTGTGTTTTTATTTTTCTTAGAGGAAGAACTTGAAGATAAAAACTGCCCACTGCTGCCCACAGATGGATTTCCTGAGTGTAARGGGAAACTGAAGGTAACGAAACATTTTAATTGAAAAGGCTCCCGTGAAGATACAGTGGTTTGCAAAAGTTTTCATACCCCTTGAACTTTTCCATATTTTGTCACATTACAACCACAAACATA